GGTTGCACAGAAAACATCGCGGAATGCTCTCTGGTGCACGCTTCTTTTCTTCGGGAGCCAATTTCTTCGAATCATCGGGACAATCCTTCTTGACCTTGGCCAAATTAGTTCCACCTTGCGCTTCCAAGAATTGATCAGCCAATTCAAGCATTCCTTCAAGTGACTCAGCCTTCCTCTCTTTCAAGTACAGCGACAGGCTTGGGTGGCAACTAGTAAGAAATTGTTCTCTAATTAGGAGCTCTCTAAGTTCATCGTACTCCTGCGCTGTCCCTGAAAGTTCAATCCATCTGTCGAAATAATGGATAAGTCGGGCGGCGTACTGTGTAGCCGCCTCACCATCAGCTGGCTTTCCTGTCCGAAATCTGTCCCGGAAACCTTCTACGGTAAATCTAAATCACTTCAGCAAAGCAGCTTTCACCTTTGCATAGTTGGCTGCATCGGTCGGCGTCAGCCTGCCGTACACACTGAGCGCTTCGCCACTCAAGCAAGTACTCAAAGCAGTTGCCCATTGATGTTCCGGCCAGTTCTGGCTCCTCGCAATCGTCTCAAATCTGTGAAGGTATGCATCAAGGGCGTCCTTCCTTTCATCAAACGCTACGAGCAGCTTGCTTGGGTTCAAGCGGAAGCCATGATCTTCCCGTTCGCTGCTTTCAACTCTAGCTTGGACAGGAGTTTCACTTCGCTGTTGCAAACGGAGCCGCTCGAGTTCCATTTCGTGCTGCCGCTGCCGTTCCCTTTCAGCCATCTCCGCTTCTCTTTCTTCTCTCGCCCTTTCGGCTGCCAATTTTTCTTTCTCCAACTCCAACTTCAATTGTTGCTCTCTTTCTTCCTTCGCCCTTTCAGCTGCCAACTTTTCTCTCTCCAGCTCCAACTTCAATTGCTGCTCTCTTTCTTCTTTCAGCTGTCGCTCCTTTGCCTCTCTTTCTTCTCTCGCCATTTCAGCGGCCAGCCTTTCTCTCTCTAACTCAGCTGCTTTTTCTTCCTTGGCCCTCTCAGCTGCCAACCTCTCTCTTTCCACCGCCTCTTTCTCCTTCTGGCTTACCCACTTCCGTAGTTCGGCGCCAGAAAGACCCATCTTCTCACCAAGAGCTACTAACTTTTCGAGATCCATGGTGTCTCGCAAATAAAACCTTGCCCCGTGCAAGAAAAGTATCTGCCTAAATCACTCTATCGGAACACTCTCCTGCACTCGTTAACGAGAACACTGAACAACACACAAAATCGTTCCGATAGCACTATCAACAACTCGAGGCTCGAGGCTCTTTCTCACTTCTTTGGACACACTGTGCACCAAAAGGTCCTGTGTCGCGGACGCCAGATTAATTGTCACACATGTCCCGTTTATTAGGGAGGCGATCGCCGGGCTAATTTCAAGGGCCGAAGTATCGGCCCCCCGAACCGCACCACGAAAGCGTGGACAATTTAGAAGTGGTCCTTTTTGGCGCGCCAGCGGACGCCAGCTGTGGCCCAAAGAACAAGTCTGAGCCGAGAGTTGATAAACCAACAAAACTATATTCTCAGTAATGGCAGATCAGGAAAACAGTACACAAATATGCTCACTCCACAATAGCTGAGTACAATATGCCACCGATCAAACAACGTACTACACAGTACAATTAGCCACACTCGAACAACGGACACAGACAACAGTACACACTACAATGCAGTCGCATGCATTGAACAACCAAGACACTTAAAGACTAAAGAGATATAAAACCTATTCAGTCCAAAGTCCTTGGAACAAAAGTCTGAATGATACTCTTCCGAGAATCACTCACTCAAAGTCCAGCGTTGTTGCCGTTCCGCTGCCCCCTGAAGTTTCTCTTCCAGGAAACCTCGCCGAAGTTTCTCTTCCAGGAAACCTCGCGTCTTCAATCGGCCACTCTCCAAGCTTCAAACTTCTCCGCCGGAAACACGTCGGCTTCACACACGCAGCTGTTGCCACACGTCTTCGCTCGATAGCGGTAAACACACTCTCTTGCCTGTAGCTCGAGCCTTCACCCACAGGTGGAAATCCTCTTCATTTCCTGCTTCGTCCCTACGGAAAAACCTTCGCCGACTACACGGCGGAATCCCTACGCACTCTGGCGCTACTTCCGTCTTCTCCTGATCTCTCATCTCCGCTGCTCGGTTAAATACCTTCCGCGCGACATTCCAGAAAGTTCTCATCATTTCGTCGGCGCGATACGCAGCGAAGGCTGGGAAGAGGGCGAGACGGTTGGAACGCCCTCCGCGGCAGATGACTCAGCTCGGTATGACCACGCCTATTTCCTTCTGGAACTTTCCAGCGCTTGCTCGACCGCCGTTGTGGGGTGAGGAGGTTCGTCGGCGAAGCCACGCTTCCAAGGGGAGAGCGCGCGCCCCGAGGAGGCTTGGATGTTTGTTTTCTTTTTTTCTTTTGACCTCGCGGCGTCTCTTTCGCGCGTTATCGCAAGAATTTGGCGGCGCGCCCATTTTTAGCGCTCGTTCTGTGACACCAGGACATATCCGAGGCTTGGATTTTTTCGCAGCAACACAGCTTCAGCAATTTTCCATGCGCTTGGAATCCATGTGATCTGTAAGGAGCAGTTAACAATATTCAAAAGCTCTTCGGGATGGGAATTAAATATCAATTTAATCATAGAGTTTGTAATCTGATCTCGACCGGAAGCCGCTTGCTTTACAGTTAGTATGACATCTGCCAGTTCCGCCATAGTGACTTCCCGAAAGTCCTAGGTCGCGCTTTTGAATGTCATAGGTCTTAATCATGACGAAGCGAAATGCGCTTCAAGTCCTTTCGCGAAGCCCTCTAACAAATCTGTTGTCTCTTTAGGAAACAGCACTACTGAATGCGAATATGCTGGTACCTGCGTGGATTTTTTGTTCCGTAGAAACCTGTACTGAGAAGATCTTTTATCAGATTTTGATAAACGCGAATGTAAGTCAGAATTGTGTTTATCTTCAGCTATAGCAACTGTACGTTTAAACAGCGCTGCGTGGAATTTATAGTCAACCGAATTTTTCGCAGTATGGTTGTGGCGTAAACGTTTCCAAGCAGCCTTACGTCGCCTATACGCAAGCGTACAATCTTCATTCCACCAAGCTGAATTTGACGGTGTGCTGCCGTACTTAACAGAAAACTCTGCCGGCTGGACAGAGTCACTTAGACACGCTACTACTGAAGCAGCTCGTTCCTGTCCGGCGCGTCCTCTCAATGACGAGAGCACGGAGTTTTAAACAGTTTTATAAATTTTATAGTTGGTGAACCGTTGTTGCAGGGTAGCAGACGTAAGTTGTGGTAGCATTATTTCATAGGTAATCGGTACATGATCACTACTCGTCTCATTATCAAACGTTTCCCACGATGAAATCATAAACTGGCCACACGAAAATGTTAGGTCCAATGTTGATGAGCTTATCCCGCGTAGAAAGGTAACTTGTCCAGAGTTATGACAGCGAAAATTATTATCCTGCAGCCAAATCCACAATCTTTTGCCACAGCCATCTGTTTTAAACCCCCAAGAAGTGTGATGCGAGTTAAAATCCCCAGCCAATAAAATTGAATTTGACGAAGAATTCTTGATAACGCAATCTAGGTGATCTGTGCGTGTTACTCCATTCGGAAAGCACGCATTAATCACTGTAATCCTGTTGGAGTCAGGTAACAAACAATCTATTCATAACAATTCACAATGCGGACAAATATGTTCAAAAGTTACAGTAACATGATGACACATTTTTGAAGATATTAGGGCCAATAATCCACCTCCTCTACCTGGCCTATCCAGTCTAAAAGTTCGAAAATATTTGAGAGTAACTGTTTGGTTTACTGAAAGCCAAGACTCTTGAAGTATATTTATATTAGGATTTGTTTGCTGTCTGAGATAAATAAGATCTATGTAAGTGGAAGATACGCAACGACAATTCCACTGGAGAACTTTTACAGGCGCTATGATGGACTTAGTATAGTTGACTCGACTGCAGAACGCAAAACGTCCTGCTCGTTGTTGGTATTAGTAATATTTTTTTGGTTTCGACATTGGCAAACTGGTTGGAGACAATGGAGCATTGCGTCATTTATGAATTATATTACCAAGCCTCATGTCACCAAACGACCCACTGGGCCCCGAAGGGGTCGGCGACTCAGCGCTGCCGAGCATTTCAGGGGTAATATCTTCTTGACGCCGATTATTTTGTTCATTGTCAAGATGCTCAGCTTCACCCTGGACCGTGACAGTGTGTGCAGCGAAGGAGGGAATAAGGCTATTTAACCTGGCGGTGAGCATCTCGGTCAGACCTTCAGCAGAGGTGTTGAAAAGCCGTCCCATAATCATCGGCATGGCCTTATCTATCGCTGCCGACACTGCGGAAGCGACCGTCGCTTCAATTGACCCACACTGGCGTGACGTAGCACCAGCGTACCCCACTTCGCGCTCTTTAATGAAGGATGTTGCCTCAGACCGAGAACAACGGCGTTTCTCCATTATATCTTGAACTTGTGTTTCACGTTCTCGAGCAGGGCAGCTATTGTGCGTAGCTGTGTGTGCCCCATCACCTAGGCAACACCTGCAGTTGTCTACCTGACAATTTGATGCGGCATGTGCCCCACCGCAATTCGCACATCTCAATGAGGACCTGCAAGCATTAGCGCTATGTCCAAATCGCCAGCAGTTACGGCATTGCAGTGGGCAAGGTGTCAATGCCTCTACACGGAATAGATAAGGCCAGGCCTTCAGCTCAGAGGGGTGTGTGAGACCAGCAAAGGTAACGATCACGCTTTCAGTAGGGACTCGCGTGTCACCTACAGGTCTGGTGCATCTGTAGACAGATATCACGCCAGCTGGAGAGACCATTTTTAAGAATGCTTCTGGACTAATGTTAGTTGGAACACCACGAACAATGCCCTTCACGCAAGCAAGATGAGGGGGGATAAAAGGGCGAACAGCAATGAACGCAAATTTCGTGGCGGCCAGTAAGTCTTTTAAGCATAGAATATTTGAAGTCTTGCCGAAACGCCTCACCTCCGAGATGTCCAGAAAAAGACCGCTTATGTTGCGAAGTTCTTCTTGAAACACCTCCGTTTCACTCAACCGAATGGCTGCACCATCAGTGGGCACAAGCACGACAGGCAAACTGCTTACGCCGTTCTTGAGGAAACACTCCAGTGGCACTGATTCAGCAGGGCGACTGGTCGACCAGGGCGAGCCCTGGCCGGGACCGGAGACCAGCATTGATGGCTCCTGAAAAATCAGCAAAAAGAAATTCTACCACTAATAATGAACCAAAGGTGATGACTGGCCAATCCCCTCTCACGGGACGTGCAATCGAAAGTCTTGTCTTGTCTTGTCTCCTAGGAGATCTTGGCTCATACCCACATAGGGGATTGGCCACACTGTACCTCATAAGTCACCCCAAGAAAAGATTCGTCTTTTTCCTTCTTCCCTAGTCCAATGCGTGTCCGAAAGATAGCGTTTTTCTTCTTCTTCTCTGAATCATCGCAGAGTAAGGCACCACGAGATCGGCGCTCGAGCTCCTCCATCTTCCTCGTCCTGTCGCTATCTCGAATCTTCCACCTGCCCGTTTGGTTCCCCTAAAAAACCTCTTTACACGTAATACAAAATTTGGCATATTTGAAGCTAGCGATACGGCCTCGAGCGCATCATAAGTGCGGCATGTAGTCATAGTGTTACACGACACGCATGTCATGATTATCATCTTGTATATCTCATTTACCTATGTAGTCCGTTCACATCACGTAATACTGAATTTGTCACATGTGAAGCTAGCCAAAAAGCCATGAGCGCATCATCAGCGTAGAATGTAGTCATGTTGTTGCATGACACGCATCTCATGTTTATCATGTTTGCACCAGTATCACACCTTGGTCATCCATTCACGTCCCGCAATACCAAATTTGGTATAAGTGAACCTAGCGAAAGAGCCACCAGCACATCATGAGAGTGGCATCTAGTGATGTTGTTACATGACACGCATCTCGTGATTATCAAGTTTGCACCAGTCACATACTATCGGGAAGTAAACACAGCGCAAAAATATAGACAAGGACAAAGGAAGAGATGACACCGCGCTGATGTCCGCGCTGGTGTCGTCTCTTCCTTTGTCCTTGTCTATAATTTTGCGCTGTGTTTACTTCCCAAGTATGAACCACCAACTAGCCCAACCTTCGCTATTATTAGCACATACACATACCCTCGTCATACATTCACGTACCGTAATACCAAATTTGGTATATGTGACGCTAGCGAAACGGCCGCGAGCACATCATGACCGTGGCATGTAGTCATGTTGTTACATGAAATGCATTTCATGATTTTCATGTTAGGGTCTGTCGCTTGTGTTCACCATGCAGTCATGCTATACAATACTGGTTTTGCAACCTGCCATGTGAACGAAACCACCGCAAGAGTTGCAGGACCATGAAATGTAAATCATGACATTTATGACAAACATGTCATGATTTTCATGTTATGACAAGGTCACTATGTTCTCCGTAATGTCATGTGATGCTATATCAATTTTGGTATCGATACCATTATCGAAACGGCCCGGAGAGTGAAAAGTCGTAGGCGGCTAAATAGATAGATAGATAGATAGATAGATAGATAGATAGATAGATAGATAGATAGATAGATAGATAGATAGATAGATAGATAGATAGATAGATAGATAGATAGATAGATAATAGATAGATAGATAGATAGATAGATAGATAGATAGATAGATAATAGATAGATAGATAGATAGATAGATAGATAGATAGATAGATAGATAGATAGATAGATAGATAGATAGATAGATAGATAGATAGATAGATAGATAGATAGATAGATAGATAGATAGATAGATAGATTCAAACTCGCCAAAGTTCGCTAAGAAATGCTTCGCACTTAAAATGAACCTGTAATGACTTTCCCATCATATGGCTCTCCAACATCAAGTGTCACTAAAATTGGTTGCATAATAGTGACATCATTGTTACGCCGCATATAAGTCAACAGGTGCTACGTCCCATAATGACGTCATGACAAGCTATCTTAACTTGGTCAATGATGGGCCGATCACGGAAGTAGTGCAAAATCAGGTAGGATGCATCCTATCCTCGAGGCCATGTGAAACCATGTTAGGAGCTTTCGCAGGGTGGCGAGGAGCCAATAGGACATCGAATCATAGAGTTTCCTATGAATACTTTATGCGGAACTTTGATTCGAGTGTCTATAGGAGCTGCAACGCATGACGCTTCAGCGAGCATGGGAATTATGGGTATTACATGGATTTGCCTATTATTCGCACTTTACGTTCCGTTTGGCTTCCCGCGGCTCGGAGCTTATTTGTCACAAAATGACAATGAGAAAATGTTGAACAGTTACGCTTTTCGGCTCATCGAGACAAATCGACTCACAAAGTTCCCAACTGCGCGTTCTTTCATTTGAAACAAAACCAAAAAACCGCAATAACCAGAGCCACAAATGAGTTAGAAGCTCGCAAGCACGAAGGCTAGACAAGTACGTGTACTACCCATAATTCCAATAGTGGCTGGAAGATCACAGCGCCAGAAGCTTCTCTAGTTAAACTAAGGAAACCCTATGCATCGGATGAGAAGAAAGAGAATGGCGTTCGCCGTCCAGTCGTCTTATGTGAGTGCATAAGAAAACCATGAGGTTTTTTTTTCAAACAGTCAGTTAATAAATTAATCAATCAGTGATTCAATTTTGCTCAGTCGTCAATAGTGGGTTAGAACCATGAAAAGCGGAGAAGCAAGCAATCTGTTGCTTCACGGAGAAGACGAAGAAGAAGGTTGAGCAGCCCGCATCGTAAGCTAATTTTTATCACTGTCTTCTATTCTTTAAAATTCCCGCTTGAAATACTTTCAGAGATTTTCTTGAGCTAGGTTTTGCCATTTATGCTTTGTCCATGCGCTTACATACCCAAACATGTCTATCTTGACGCATACTTCTTGAAATACAGTCGCTGGCTTCTGTTCAGCACTGCAATGACCGAGCGTTTTCAGCAGTTGTCGCTGGGACATGTAATGTAACTTGTACTCAAATGTATTTTCACACTGTGCAAGGGGGAAGCCAGCATTTCACTTCCGGAAGCTTCGATCCTCCACATATATGTGCATGAGTGCTCGCGCATGTGTACATGTGCAGAAAAACTGGGAGAACTTTGAGAGGACTAGCGCTACTCAAGCGTATTCTATACAGTACAAAATCGCGAAACATTGAAATAGTAACAGTACTTCTCACGCGAAGAAACAGCGTGCTATTACTAATTCACATTATGTTTATCCAAGTTGCTCTTTGTATGCTTCCGTGAACATACACACTCACAAACACACACACGCACACAGACTACATTTGAGTACAAGTTACATGAAACGTCCCAGCGACAACTGCTGAAAACGCTCGGTCATTGTTCACTGAGCCATACAAAAAGCACATACCCCGTGCGCGCGCGCGCGCGTGTGTGTGTGTGTGTGTGTGTGTGTGTGTGTGTGTGTGTGTGTGTGTGTGTGTGTGCGTGTGCGTGTGTGCGTGCGTGTGTGTGTGTGTGAGTGAGTGAGTGAGTGAGTGAGTGAGTGAGTGAGCTTTTTCATTCATCAGTAAAAGCTAGTGCTTATTTCCAATGTGTTGATTGCATGCATTTTGTTGTAAAAGCATTTATTTTATGGCGCGCTAACAAATAAAATGTACGTATCTTGTGCGCTTTGCATCCTAAAACGCCTGGTGATGCCAAAGGTTTTATATATATATCCTAGACAGTACTTGGCGGCTTACGATCTTTGTATCCATTGTCGACCTTTTCGTTTTTTAGGAATGGATTCAGACAGGTAAGTCTCGGAATTTTATAGAATGCTTGCCTTTTATAGTAAAAATACAGAAGTTTTAAAGATAATTCCGCAATAATATACGAATGACTGGCTATGCACCTCACGCAGCACACCTCACTAAGACAGGGAAGTTTATTGCAAACCGGTAACAACATTTTAGATGAATAAAACTGTCTGGTGTAACAAAATCACGTCAGAGGCGTGTGCAAACAAGAGAACATAGACAGGATGTAACACACAGCACTTCCAATATTCTCACAGATCACGAATCACTCAAGAAAACAAAGAGAAAAATAAACGCAGAAAGCACTAAGTTGGAAGAGATTCACATAATATGTGCGACAAGAAGCATTTATTTTCCTTTTTTCGAGTCAAACAGATTTTTCGCGGCCCTGAGTTTGTTCACTGAGACCCGAGTGCGCGCGCGTAGTATTCGTGTGCTGTGGATATTTTTTTCAGGTTTCCGTTTCCAAGCTGCTATCACTGTGTTTTCAGTATGCAATGGAATTTCGTTGACGAGATTGTGCAGAGTACATTTTTTTTTTCTGCCTATAGTACATCTTGCTTTTATCTCCAGCCGGCACCCCTTTGGGAAATGGTGCATTTTCATGCACTTAATACGTGCCCACTTTCGCCCAAGATTGGATAATACGATCCCAAAAGTGTATTTTGACTGATCCATCTGGCAATTGCGCACGCTTTTGTGTTCGGCGCACCAGCTCAAACCGCAATCCAACAAGCCTTGCTGCTCACGTGGTAGAACCACTGTGGCCGTGAAGGCGTAGCGCTTGCTAAAAAAGATCACTGCGAGTTGTTGTTGCTCTGTCCAATGACAATGATGGTGCGCCAGCTGAATAATATATCAGAATTCAGTCGAAGACGCTGAAAAGAAGTGCGGTGCCAATTGACCAGCCATTTCAATGTGACTCAATAAAAGAAGAGCTTTTGATGGAGTATACGTATTTTCACCCTGTTTTTAACCTTCTGGATTAATATAACTTTTGCATATACGCTTCACCTTCCGGTTTCCGTGGAAAACAGGTATTAACGAGATTACACAGTGATTGGTGAGAGAAATTGGCTTGCTTATTAGAACGAAACGTTTTTAAGTTCGTAAAGTGAAATCACTTTTAATACTATGGTGCACGGTTTTGGGACTTTAGCCACAAACAATAATTATACTATTTGAAATTTTTGTTTAGCGTGCCCCCTCCTGTAGTTAATTATTCGCTATGATAAAATTTAATATGAACCACCCGAGAAAACACGAATCCACGCAAGCCTTAATTATCAGCTGCTACCTTCCTGGTTTTAAGGCAAACGTCATTCGTTCTCAACACGAGTGTCTCGTGAGCCTGACTATCATTCATGAGTAACAGTGGTAGTTTC